GCTTTTGCTCTTTTCTTTACATTAACAAAACAAAATCATTAACAAAATAATTTTGTTCTCCTCCAACACCATCAGTTTAGTTTTCAATTACAGTAAAATATCTACAAATATATCCCTTTTTAGTGCTACTAAGCAAAGACATACTGGTAAACACTCTTGGTGACTGTGTTCTAAATGGTAGGCAGCTCTAATTGTTCCATCAAGGACCAAGATCAGAGGGAACCCTTTTCTTGGTAGCATTTCCATGGCAGATGTAGACAAACAGTTCACATGATGAAGCAGAGAAAGTCAGTTCAAATGCGAGGCAAGAGGCCAATTTAGGGTCCTTAGTATGCAGGGCGTGAGTGAGTGAGAGCTGCCAACAAAGCAGGGAGTTCAGTAGTCTACCTCTTATTGAGTTGGTAACCTATGTCTGTGCTATGCGTAATTGACTGAGTTGTGCTGAAAAGAAATATGCATAGGCTAGCATCTTCCCTTTCAAGAGACACGATATATCTGCACTGAATCTATGAGGCACTTTTCACTCCATAGGGAACTTCATGCTGCACTTCAAAAACGATGAGTCTAAAATATAAAGCCCTGGAATTCCATTTCTGTGGACTAGTTAAATAACCATACACATTTCTGAATTTTTTTATAGATGAAGAAGCAGTTGGGTGATAATGAAGCTATTACTCAAGAAATAGTTGGCTGTGCTCATGTTGAAAATTATGCATTGAAAATGTTTCTCTATGCAGATAACGAAGATCGAGCTGGGCGATTTCACAAGTAAGTGAGAGACAGTGCAGTCCTAAGCAGAGTTCACCCCTTCTGAGTTCTTTGAAGTCTATATAGAATTGCACTAAAATAAAGGTAATTTATGTTGTAGCAGATCAATTGTTCTGCATTTATTAGCGCACACTCAGGACCATATGTGACTTGAGCAATGATTCTGTCACTAGTCTTATGTGAATGGCTAACTGCAAGGTTGCAGTGCAGAGATGAGTAAATCTTCTACTAAGGCAAAATAGAACTTTAACGGACTCTGTTTTTCAGAATGGTTTGCAATTAAATTGTATGCTCATAGCCTTAAGGCAGCTTTGGTTGAGCTCATCAGATCTGTGTCTGACTGGGGCCTGGATGGAAGACTAACTTGGAACCCTGCAAGAAAGGCGGCATCTCCCTTATATATAAAAGGCGAATGGTGGTGGCACTTCTCTAGAACATTCCACATGCTCCGGAATTCGTTGGCGCCTTGGTGTGTCACTCAGAATCTGTCCCTATCCACTGGCTGCATTGCTTGAGTCTCACCTCCAACATTCTAAACTGTTTGCTGTTCCTCTCCCCCCCCATAGCCAGTCAGAGCACAGAGAGGTTATTTGCATATGCAGCCTCATTGGCCTTTGCCTCGGAACACAGAGGTCGTTTGCATATGCGACTTGATTGGCTTTTGCCTCTAACATTCTAAACAGTTTGCTGTTCTGAGGTAAAATGTGTCCAATCTCCAGGTGAGGGCTGGAGATCACTCAGAATTACAACTGCTTTCCAGATAAGAACATAAGAGACGCCAATATTGAATCAGGCCAAAGGCCCATCCAGTCCAACACTCTGTCACACAGTGGCCAAAAATACCAGGTGCCATCAAGAGGTCCACCAGTGGGGCCAGGACATTAGAAGCCCTCCCACTGTTGACCCCTCCAAGCACCAAGAAGACAGAGCATCACTTGCCCCAGACCAAGAGTTCCTATCTATACCTTGTGGCTAATAGCCACTGATGGACCTCTGCTCCATATGCTTATCTAATTCCCTTTTGAAGCCGTCCATGCTTGTAGCCACCACCACTTCCTGTGGCAGTGAATTCCATGTGTTAATCACAACCCGACCGCTCAGCAATTTCATGGAGTGCCCACGGGTTCTTGTATTGTGAGAAAGGGAGAAAAGTACCTCTTTCTCTACCTGCTCTTTCCCATGCATAATCTTATAAACCTCAATCATGTCACCCCTCAGTCGTCGTTTCTCCAAGCTAAAGAGCCCTAAGCGCCTTAACCGTTCCTCATAGGGAAAGTGTTCCAACCCTTTTATCATTCGAGTTGCTCTTTTCTGCACTTTTTCCAAAGCTATAATATCCTTTTTAAGGTGTGGTGACCAGAATTGCACACAGTATTCCAGATGAGGTCGCACCATTGATTTATATAGCGGCATTATGATATTGGCTGATCTGTTTACAATACCCTTCCTAATAATCCCCAGCATAGCATTGGCCTTCTTTATTGCAGTCACACACTGTCTCGACATTTTCAGTGAGTTATCTACTACAACTCCAAGATCTCTCTCTTGATCTGTCTCTGCCAGTTCAGACCCCATCAACGTGTATTTATAGTTAGGATTTTTGGCTCCAATGTGCATCACCTTGCACTTGGCCACATTGAACCCCATTTGCCATGTTGACGCCCACTCGCCCAACTTTGACAGATCCCTTTGGAGTGCCTCACAATCCTCACTGGTTTTCACCACCCTGAACAACTTCGTATCATCCGCAAATTTAGCCACTTCACTGCTTACTCCCAACTCCAAATCATTAATGAACAAGTTAAAAAGCAGTGGACCAAGTACTGATCCCTGTGGTACCCCACTGCTTACACCCCTCCACTGGGAGAACTGCCCATTTATACTCACTCTCTGTTTTCTATTAATTAGCCAGTTTTTGATCCATAAAAGGACTTGTCCTTTTATCCCATGATTTTTGAGCTTGCTTAGGAGCCTTTGATGAGGAACTTTATCAAAAGCTTTCTGGAAGTCAAGGTAAACAATATCTATTGGATCCCCCTTGTCCACATGTTTGTTCACCCCCTCAAAGAACATTAACAGGTTAGTGAGACAAGATCTTCCCTTACAGAACCCATGTTGAGTCTGCCTCAATAGGTTTTGTTCATCTATGTGCCTACTAATTCTTTCCTTAATAATGGTTTCCACCAATTTACCCGGTATCGACGTCAGACTGACAGGCCTGTAATTTCCCGGATCTCCTCTGGAACCCTTTTTAAAGATGGGAGTGACATTAGCTACCTTCCAGTCCTCAGGAATGGAGGCTGATTTTAAGGAGAGATTACATATTTTTGTCAGGAGATCCACAAGTTCACAATTGAGTTCTTTCAGAACTCTTGGATGTATGCCATCTGGGCCTGGTGATTTATCAGTTTTTAAGTTGTTTATCAGTTTTAGGACCTCCTCTCTCGTCACCTCAATCTGACTCAGGTCTTTCAACACCCCTCCCGAACTCAGCGGCTCTGGAGTGGGCAAGCACCTCTCATCTTCCACAGTGAAGACGGAGGCAAAAAATGCATTTAGCTTCTCAGCCATTTCCCTATCATCCTTCAGTACTCCTTTTACCCCTTGGTCATCCAAGGGCCCCACTGCCTCCCTGGCTGGTTTCCTGTTTCTAATGTATTTGAAGAAAGTTTTATTGTTGGTCTTTACATTTTTTGCTATATGCTCCTCATATTCCCTTTTTGCATGCCTGACCACAGACTTGCATTTTATTTGCCATAGCCTGTGTTCTGTTTTATCAGCCTCACTGTGACTAGCTTTCCACCGCTTAAAGGAATCCTTTTTACCTTTTACAGCTTCCATTACTTTGTTTGTTAACCATGTAGGCTTTTTCTTATACCTGTTTGTGCCTTTCCTAACCTGCGGAATATATTTTATTTGAGCTTCTAGAATTGTAGTTTTAAACAGTTTCCAAGCTTCCCCAATGGTTTTGACCCTTTCTACTTTTCCCTTCAGTTTCCTCCCCACATGTCCCCTCATATCAGAAAAATTACCCCTTTTAAAGTTAAAAGTGGTTGTGTGAGTCTTTTTGGCCAATTCCCTATTTGTACAAATGTTGAACTCAACAACATTATGATCACTGTTCCCAAGCGGTGCAATCACTTTTACATCTCTCACCAGGTCTTGAGTGTTACTTAGGACCAAATCAAGGATCGCCTCTCCCCTGGTAGGTTCTGTGACCATCTGCTCCATAGCACAGTCATTTAGAGTGTCTAGAAACTCAATCTCTTTTTCTCGACTAGATCATGTATTGACCCAATCAATGTGTGGGTAGTTAAAATCACTTATTACGACAGTGTTTTTGTCTAGCTGCTATCTTTAATTCATAATTCATAAAAATAAGATGGCAGAGATCAATTCCCCTGGAGAAAATGGTGGGCTCTGTATCCTTATATGCTGCTGAGGTGGCCCCCGTATGACAGCCAATGTGACGTAGCAGTCAGGGCTTCAGAGCACGGGAAAGGCTGCAGGTGTGTGGGGGGTGGAAAGCTGAAGAGTGAGGGGGAAATAAAGGTAGGTTGATGATTGGCTGGGAAGGAGGGTTGCCAACTCCAGGTGGGAAATTCCTGGAGATGTGAGGGATGGAGTCTGGAGAAGGTGAGGTTTCAGGAGGCGTGGGACCTCGGACAGGTACAAAGCCATAGACTCCATCCTCCAAACCAACCATTCCCTTCTGGGAAACCATTGTTGCCAATCTCCAGGTGAGGGCTGGAGATCACTCAAAATTACAACTGTTCTTTAGGTAGCAGAGATCAGTTCCTCTGGAGAAAATGGTGGACTCAGTGTCATTATACCCTGCTGAGGTTACCACAGCACATTGACGCTGAGTGTCCAAGGCCGGGGCACCCGCCCAGAGCCTCTTTCTAGATACCATTGTATTTATTTCCACAACGGGGTTTTTTCCTAGTGTAAATGTAATACATGTTTGGGGGTTTTTTAAATTTTCTCTTGTGTTTTTAATATTATGTGTTTTTTCCCCAGAAATATGATTAAGTCTTTTTATACAGCGAGTCTTCTAATAGATGTCCTGACTGTATTTGGAGAACTAACAGATGAAGTAAGTTACATAATTAAGTAGTATGTATCATTGACTGCAGTATGTAAAGAACCAGGATTTGTCTCCAGGCCAGTCCAGTTAATCATAACTAAGTCCCACTGAAGGCAGTATGGTTTCACTCCTCAGTGATGAACCTTTCCATCTGGTTTTGGTTGAACTTAGTCATTACTAAATTTAGGTGGATCAGGTACCTTTCCGTGTTACAGTTTGGGATCCAAAGAGCTTCCCTAGGCATCAGCAGTGTTTGAGTGTGCCTAGTGGAATTGCTGATTGAACCACAAAAATGCAGTTTGTGCCCATCTCTAATCAGGAACAAGAGCAAGCAGGAGGGTAAGCAGGTAGTATGTAATGGGAAACTAGGATAGAAAGGACTGGGGTGGGGTAGAAGAATGTGTGTAAGGGGAAGCAGGGGAGATGGGTTGTGGGTTTTTGCAAACACTTTGTAATGTCTGCATGACTGTACTGCAAACTGCTTGCCCCAGAGTGAGAGGAGTAGTTGTCATAGGGCTACTGGGATAGGCAAGATAGACATATTTTTGTACTACTAGCTTTGTTTATTCCTCCACTTGTTAAAAAACAAGTCCACCACTAGTTGAAGCTTTCAGAAGCAGAACTATAAATAGTTAATTATAGGATACACATAATGTGTATATTTAAAAATAAAAATATTGATGCATAAACAGGGTAAGCTTGTAATTGTATTGCTTATGTCAGAAATTGGCTCATACCATGCCTTGGCTAGTCTACCAAAAGTAAAATCTGAGGCAGAAAACTTCAGAGCAATTCCAAGGAACTTGTTGATGGTCTCCTGGGCTACTTTTGGTAGTGGTGATTTTTGTGGGTGCCTTAAATGGGAGGACCTGACTACTCTGTGTTCCGTAATGACACCATTGTGCAAAAAGGAACAACATGGCTGGTTTGTCCTATGTTAAAAATGGCAAGAGTGTGGGATCAGGCTATGTAGGCTTATTTTTCCTAGGGGGAAAAAATTGAGCTGTGCTTGATACTTTGGATGGAAGATACCATTGTTTGCAAGGAAGGACTTGGTGGCTAACATGCACATTGAGCAAACTGCCCTGACCCTCAAGACAATTTTTTTATTTAAAAACAAACCATTTTATTTAAACTTGATTGAAACCTGTAAACAATCTAACACTGGATGTACGATATGCCTCAGCAAATGATGTTAATACCGGCAATGTAGAATCTGCGGTCCCTGACAGGTGGATGCCTGCTGCCTCAACTGAGAGCCTGGTGGCAGAGCTCCATCTTACAGGCCCTGCGGAACTATATAACAGGTCCCACAGGGCCCTGATCTCATAAAGGAGCTCATTCCACCAGTTAGGGGCAAGGGCCGAAAAGGCCATGGCCCTAGTTGAGGCAAGTCGGACATCCTTAGGGCCAGGGACTACCAGGAGATGCTTGGTTCTGCGGGGCTCGTATGGGGAAAGGCAGTCTTGAAGATATGCCAGCCCCTATCCGTATAGGGCTTTAAAGGCACATTTAAGTGGATTTGGAATTCAGTAGGCAGCCAGTGCAGTTCACACAGCACTGGGCAGATGTGGCCCCGCACAAGCAGCGACATCAATACCTGTATTGCTACGATCTGCACTAGCTGTTCCTTTCGGAGCAGAGTCAAGGGCAGCCCCACGTAAAGAGAATTACAATGATCCAGTCTGGAAGTGACCATTGCCTGGGTCACTGTAGCCAGGTTGCTGAGGGAGAGGTATGGGACCAACTGCCTGATCTGCCTCAGATGGGAAAAGACAGATCTGGCTTTGGTGGTGACCTGGGGCTTCATAGTCAGTGAGGCATCCAGGAACACCCCAGGCTCTTTATCTTCGGCACTGGCACCAACAGAGCCCTGTTGAAGGCTGGGAGCCTGATACCAAACCCCCAACCCCCATGGCTCAGGTGCAGGACCTCTGTCTTCGGAGGATTCAGCTTCAGTCGACTCTGCTGTAACCATCCAGCCACAGCTTGTAATGCCCTGTCCAGGTGTTCAGGGGCAGAGTCCAGGTGGTTGTCCATTAGTAGATAGAGCTGGGTGTCGTCCACATACCAGTGACAACTCATCCCAATCCACTGAATAATCTGGACAAGGGGGTGCATATAGATGTTGACTAGCATTGGGGAGAGAATCGATCTCTGCGGCACACCACATATGAGTGGGTGTCGCTCAGACAGCTCCCTTCCCCAAGTGCCACCCTCTGTCCCCGATCTTGGAGAAAGGAGGCCAGCCATTGTAAGGCTAATCCCCGCATCCCCACATCAACTCTATCGAACCCTGCTGACAGATCAAGAAACATCAGCAGCACTGATCCGCCTCAATCCAGATGTCTCCGGAGGTCATCCACCAAGGCAACCAGTACCGTCTCTATCCCATGATCAGGGCGAAAACCAGACTGGAAGGGATCCAGGACATTAACATCTTCCAAGAAAGCCTGGAGCTGTGTTGCAACCGCATTCTCCACTACCTTACCCAGAAACGGTAGACCGGATATTGTGTGGTATTTATCAAGGACCGTAGGGTCCAAAGATGGTCTTTTCAGGAGTGGGCAAACCACTGCCTCCTTCAGTTTCTCCAGGAAGGGTCCTGTGGACAGGGACAAGTTGACAGTTTCCCTCAAGGGACTTCCTGCCGCATCGCCACAGTTTTTAACTAGCCACAGTGGGCAGGGATCAAGGAAGCAAGTGGTAGGTTTCACCGCTGACAAGATCTTGCCAACTGCATTCTGGGTGAGCAGACTGAACTGGTCCAAAACTAGACCTGAAGACAGGCAAGGGGCTTCTTTATTTTGGCTTAACAGTATTAGCATTAAATATCGTTAATAAAAGAAGGGAGGATGAACATAAAGACTATTTTAAAGTAAAGATGTGTGCCAGTTGTGCAGTCAGTTTCTCTTGCTTACACATATTCCACAGTAGGTTTAGTCTGGGACATGCTAGAACAGATAAATTCTAAGCAAGATGTTCCACTTTTTGGCATTTCCCTGTGGAAAATAAATTTAGAGGAATTGTGCAAAATGGATGAAATGAAATGCCCATATGGAAAAGAATGCCTGAAATGAAAGGTGCATATGGAGAAGAATGCCAGAAATGTTGAAAGCTTTGTGCAGAAATATAAAATGTATAATGTAGGCGAATTTCAAAACCAATCAAAGAGAGTTCTGGAATAACTGAAAAAAATTGTTAAATCCACGTTAAAGTACTGCATATCCCCGAAGCAGGATACACATCTTTACTGCAGTTTATAAAGATGGTTTTCAGCTATGAGATCAATATTTTCAGTGAACCCATTCAACAATGTCTTAATCAAAGCTCCAGTCAGAAAGTGAACTGATTTGCACAACTAAGCTTGGTTAAAAGTGCTGAATCAGGATCTGGAAATTCTTGCTCAGCTCTGGAACTAATTGTGACGAACCGATCTCCAAAACCAGGATGCTTAGTGTACCAGATTCAGAGAGCTGGTAGATTAGGGGTTAATGCCTCACTGTAAAGCACAGTTTCATTGACAGGCTGCTGCCTGCATCTCTCTGATAGGTCAGCGGCCGCTGAGGACAGCTTTCGAAAGTCTTGTCAGTCTTGTCAGAGGGAGTCAGTCTCCGTTTGGACTGTAGTTAGCAATAGCCAGTCAGGAGGAGAGTGTATGTCAGTCTGAGGGAAACAGACACGCTCACTTGGGAAGTGAAAGGACACAACTCCTTGCTGTCAAACGTGTTGGTGCCCCTCCAAAAGCAGGAGGTCAGTTCATCCACACCCATTATGTGACTTTGGGCCAGTTATGCACACTCAGCCTGACCTAACTCACAGGGTGGTTGTAAAGATACAGTGGAGGATTGGAAAGCCACATACACTACCCTGAGCTCCTTGGACGAAAAGCAGGATGTAAATTAATAGATAAGTAGTTAATAACTTCTTGATAGAGAAAAAATTAGTTGCTAAAGAGTAGTGACAGAATACAGGGAATAAATTAGCTTTTCAAATGTTGTCCTTTGCCCAGGTGCCACTAATGATTGCCTTGTACAAAGAACTGGGGCTGTTTGTGCGTGCTTATAACTGATGCAACGTCAGCCATCAATAAATCTAGACTTTGAATGGTAACGGGCCTGTTTTAGTACAGTCTGCATCCTGTATTGTCTTTGATTTCAAAAGGAATTTTTTCTTGATTTTAGAGGTGGTAATCTCTCTTTCAAGCAGTGTAAAAACACATTACAGTGCGGTCCTAAACTGAGCTGCACTCTTTCAAGGACACTGACTTCCATGGACTCAGAACTCTGTTTAGGAGTAAACTGTTTAGAAAGCAGTCCTAAACAGGTCTACTCACATTGTGTTTAACAGGGCATATTCCCTGGTAGGGGCCTCTAGGTTTGCAGCATTAGTCTGCCGTTTTCGCAGAGTAAGCCATTACTGCATTGGGATTTTGAAAACACCTGAGACAGATACACACACACACACACATGAACGCCCAAGGATATTAAGAAGCAAGGAGTTACACCCTTCTAAACCCATTGACTTCAATGGGCTTAGGAGGGAGTAACTCTTTTTAGGATGGCACTGTTCGTCTTTAACACAGAAAAAAACCTTAATTTAAGGAGAGTTTTTCTACTTCTTGAAAGACTGTTCATTCAAATTATTTTATAGTACCCCCCCCAAAAAAAAAGCCCACAACCCTTGAGTGCTACAGATATTAATGCTAATCTTGGGAGGGAAAGATAAATTAATCCCTGTTTTTTAAAAATAAAAAAGTTGGTGGTTTTCCCCCCCCCCCCCCTTTTCAGACTGATAAATCAGGTTAAACAATTGTTTGTTGCTAATTTTCTAGAATGTCCAACACAGAAAATATGCCAGGTGGAAGGCAGCATACATTCATAATTGTCTAAAAAATGGAGAAACGCCACAATCTGGACCTATTGGAATGGAAGAGGAATACTGTGAGTAGCGATTTTGGTATTTTAAATATTGGCTAGAAATAGGATTAACTGAACGGAAAAAAATCATGACACATTTTCTTAAAAAGGACACCGTTGCTAATATTTCTAGTTTTCATTAACAGAGATTCTTGCAAGTCTTTTTTGTCCCCTACCCTTAATTTCTCTGTCAGTTTTATTCTTTCAAAATATGTACACAACTGAAACAATTGTCTGTCAATTCTATTTTTGTTTGAAGTATGGTTAGGCAAACTTTGTCAGGCTTCACTCTTTGAAATAGTTTGCCTCCATGATTGAAAATAATCGCACTTCCAACTTGAAGCTAACCTGCATAACTTTTGATCTGGGCTGACATTGCTCCAAGATCTACATGGAGATTTTAAGAGAAATTGGTGTGTGTTCACAAATGTGGGGTAACATCTTAAATACACTCCTACACGTGCATCACTTTCTTTTAACGTCTCTGTGTAGATCTTAGAACAATGTCAGGGGATAGGAAGTGTGACTTTTGTTTATATTCACTCTTGAGGCCACTGTACATTCACACTGTTCAATGTTTATGTTTCCTGGTAGTGCGCTTATTGACTCTTTGCGTCATGAAATGAACCAAGAAAAACTGGCCTTGCATCATTTTAAACAAAAGATGATCTAACTGTTACAGAGCAATACTGTGAGCTGCCTTTGAACAATACTATTGAGTGCATAGCAATACTAGGAGCAACCACTCAAATATCACTTCCACTGGTTCAGGAGTAGCTTAACAATATTTTTATACTGATGACAGTTGATTCATGCTGCCTTTCCTGTAGCACATCTGAGGGTTGAAACCAGGGCCACTGGTGAGATGGTGGTGGTGTTGCGTGACAAAATTTCCTGGGCCTAGGTTGCTCTGGGAGTTCTGGAAAACCAGGCAGTCCACCTGCCTCGTTTTTCACTCATACTCTTACTTGGCACATGCCTGTAATGTTGGGTGCTCAGCAGTTGCTAGAAGCCCTTCCATAAGCTTTTATTTTAATCCTGACCTGCACTTGAAATCATGATGTGCTTATGAGTTAAGTGAAAGGTAAAGTGGGCATGTGTGGATTCCTAGAAGGGCTCTTCTCTCCATATATATGTTTATCTTTTAAATGTATGAACAGAAAGGAAAGAGGAAATCTTTCCCCCCCAGGTTTCTGGGATGGTTCTTGGCAGGCTTGGACAAATCAAATGTGACACGGGTAATGGGAAAAGTGTTTACCTTTTAAAGTATTCCATGACATAAATGTCACCTAAAATAATTTTTTTGCTTGCATACTTACTATGCTGTCCTATGCAGCATTACTCCAGTTTTAATCAATTCAAATCATCAGGTTTAGACTGCCATAACTCTACATAGGATTTCACTGGTAGAGATGTAAAAAATAGTAATAATAATTCAGGCAGGATTTTATCCAGTGTGTCTTTCCAGTGTCCTGGCTAGTGGCTTTAAAGGTGATTGATATGATTTACAAGCAATGGAAATATCATTAGCTTCAGTTTGGTGTAGTGGTTAAGAGCGGCGGACTTTGATCTGGAGAACTGGGTTTGATTCCCCACTCTTCCACATGCAGCCAGCTGGGTGACCTTGGGCCAGTCACAGTTCTCTCAGAGCTGTTCTCTCAAGAGCAGTTCTGTCAGAGCTCTCTCAGCTCCATCTACCTCACAGGGTGTCTGTTGTGGAGAGAGGAAGGGAAGGAGATTGTAAACTGCCCTGAGATGCTGATTGAAGGGAGGGGTATAAATCCAACCCGTCGTCTTCTTCATTTTATTCCATTATCAACACTGAATGATGAAAATAGAAAGTTATCTATATTTTCTTTCTTGTTAATCACAGCAGCAGTTTTGTTTCTGGGTGGTTGTTTTTTCACAACAGTTTGCCATGACTATGTTACCTGCCTAGCTGGGAGCACTGGTTTTCCTGTCTTGAGAGTGAACTATTGAGCTTTGTCACTTGATCTTTAATGTATTACCACTAAATTGTTTTTTTTTAAAAAAAAAATATTGTAATCAGGTTTGCTGTTTAGCATACCAAAATTTCCAACTTTGAGCCTGTTTCAGAATTATAGCTCCTTAAAAGTGATTAATATTTAAAATGTTATTTACTTATATGTTTTCTACTAAGATGCTACCTTTATTTGGCCTGCAAGATGACAACTGGTGAAATCAGTTTTTAAAAATGCTCTTAAAGTTACATTTTATGTCATATATTGGACCACAGAGTCTAATGTGTAGCACATAACCTACAAAATTTAGGGCCTAGCAGTGGCAAAGGTCATATGGAAATGTATCTCTTCTCCAGAGTACCCAAAGAACTTCTCATAATTCTTGCTTTGTTCATTTGGGGAAGAAAAGCAGCATTGTTTAAGTATACTGGAGGACTTCCCCCATTCCTTTCTGCTTGCTCACTTTCTTCCTTCTCCAGCAAATGGAAAAAGACAGTATTGAAACAGAATGAAAGTAACTTTATGTAGCAGGACAAAATTCCATATTTCTAAAAGTGTTGTTCTTGCTGTGATTCTTGAAAACCATAATGTAAATCTTGGAAATGTTTGTTCAGTAACATGGGCTTAAGTATACAGTTCTGTTTTTGATATGTTGAAGTTTTTTGCAATAATGTCAAAAAAACCATAGAAATTTAACATGACACATTTGATGTCATATGAATGAAAATGTTATAGTACATACAAAGGGCACTCAGTATCATTGACACATCTAATAAACTGCCGTGGAAATAAAAGTTAATTCATTTATAAAAGCTTTCTTAGGAAATATAAGTATCAGATAACATATTCTTGCCATTTCATAATGGTCTCTGTGGATGAAAGCCATCTAATGAATCCTTTTGGAGTTCTTAAAGAGAATATAGACCTTCTAAACCAGCTCTTGTGGAGGAAAATGCCTTCAGGGTTACAGAATACTCATGATATGCATACAGACATGGTTGATAGCTTTAATAATTCAGCTGAAAATTACAAGCAGAAGGATTCACATCAACAGTGATATTGCCCAAAAGGGCATTAGTACAGAGTACAGTTCCAGCTCCTGCCTTTCTCACAGAATTTAAATAGTTCACTCAGAAGGAAAATCAATAAATCCTGTGTAACTTATCTGCATGATATTGCCTTCTTAAGTTTCCTCTATATTGCCCTCCTCACACTGTTTCCTCTTCCTGGCAGCCCCCATATCCTCACTTTTCCTTTCTTTCCTTTCTCTTTCCTACACACCAAAGAACCTAACTTCTATTTACCCCTTTCTTCACCTGTATTTATTATTTCTTTATTTCATTTGTACCCTGCCTTTCTCCCCAGTGGGACCCAAAACAGTTTACATAACTCTCTTGTCTATTTTATCTTACCAACAACCCTGTAATATAGGTTAAGCTGAGAATGTTGTGACTGGTCCCGGACCACCCATTGAGCTTCCATCGAAAAGTGGGAATTTGAATTTGAGTCTCCCAGATTGTAGTCTGACACTCTTAACAACGACACCACGCCGACTTTTATGGGGTGGCTGCTGTGGAACAGTCCAAGCAGCCAGTCCTGGGTGAATCTTGCAGATTGCGTGGTATCAAGTCAGTGGTGGTTGTTCTCCAGCCTTGCCCTAATGAGTCTTCCCTCAAAGGCTCAAAACATTCCTGGCAAGGGCCCTCCCCCCTTCCCCCTGCCTTTTACTGACAGAAACCAAGGCATGAAGTCTGGCAATACTGTTGTGGTTGCCTAGCAATGGCCACTTAGACAGCATTCATTTCTTAAAGCTTAAATCTCCGCTTCTAATATTTAGGGGTTTTAACCTACCAATTCTCTCACCCTCCCTGCCACCAGTTTCATTTTTTTTCTGCAAACCTGGGGTAGTTTTCAGGTTTGCAGAAAGATCTGTCCTGTCTGTTCATGGCTCCAGTCTCCAGATTTAAGTATCTGCGGATCTGGCCATGTTGCAAATGAGATATATTGGCACTATAGCAGCTTTCAGTAGCGGAGAAAGAGAAGATAACATGCCTTAGTATATTTTCTAAGGTGGATTTATGCAACCTATTTAAATTGTGACAATCTCAGTACATTGGAATCTCCTTCTAATTGGCTAGGTCACTGGTTGGTTTGTGATGGCGGTGGAAAGAGCTGTCACGTTGCAGCTGACTATGGTGACCCTCTAGAGTTTTCAAGGCATGAGACGTTCAGAGGTAGTTTGTGATTGCCTGCCTCTGTGTAGCAACCCTGGACTGACTTAGTGGTCTCCCATCCAAATACTAGCCTGGGCTTGACCCTGTTTAGCTTCTGAGATCTGATGAGATCAGGCTGGCCAGGGCCGTTCAGGTCAGGGCTGCACATTGATAGTGGAGTCCCAAACAGAATTACACCTTTCTAAGCCTATTCACCTCAGTGGACACGGAAGGGTTTCATTCTCTTTGGGATTGCACTGTTGAGTGGATTTGATTGTGTTTGAATGAAAAATCGATTTTTAAATTGGAGATGATAATTCTGGGAGGGAAAAAACAACAACATTCTCCCTAGATGTGTCCCTAGAACTGGCCCTTGAATCTCACAAGATTAGGCTAACCCTGGCCACCCAATTAGTTTGTATCCAACCTTTATCATGGATTGGCAGTAAATGTGTGTTAGAATGAGACAGGGAGTAAATTGGTCAAGGCCTACGGGGCATTATAGCGGAGCAGGACAAAACCGAAAGACTAACCATATGACAGCACTGGCTCGGTAAGTCACTATATCAGGGGTGGCCAAACTGTGGCTTGGAAGCCACATGCGGCTCTTTCACACTTATTGTGCAGCTCCTGCTAGGGTGGCTGGGAAAGTAAAGGGGAGGCATGCCTCCCCAATTAATCTTCCCTTCCCTAGCCAATGCAGAGAAAGCAACTAAATGTATTCTCAAAGCCCCCCCCCCCCCGGCTAGCTTGGAGAAGGCATTTGTCTCTTTAAATCCTTTCTCCAAACCGAAGCTAACCGACATGGGGTCAGGGGGGGCTTGGAGGACACATTTAAAGTTGCTTTCTTTCCACTTCTCCCTCCCCCCCACCTATTTGCTTTCCTTCCTTCCTTCTACCTTTCGTTCTTTCTGTTTCTCCCCTCCCTCCCCATCTAAAGTTATCAATTTAATATTAATAAAATTTGCGTATTTTTCAATTAAAACGTTTGTGTAATATTTGTTCATGTCTTGCGACTTTCAAACATTTGAAATTTATTCTACGTGGCTCTTACGTTAAGGAAGTTTGGCCACCCCTGCACTATATGATGAACCCCCCCCAAAAAAGAAAACCTATAAGGAGATCATTGCAATGTGGAGAGTAGGCACAAGTGGCAGAGAAACATAGAGTTATTGGGTGTTAGATACCATTTAGTAGAGAAAGATCCATGTTTAACTGTCCTCTAAATAGACCAATAACAAGTACAGTTCTGCTTTTACTATTTAGTGTTTTTTGAGTCCAATCAGATAGAAAGGGATAGAAATCTAGCAAACTTTGGATGTAATGGCAAGTGATGACTTGCTGTTAAAGCAGAGATAACTGATTAGCTGGTGGAACACAAAGGGAGAAGAGAGGCAGGAGCCCAAGTATTCCCACTCCATCCCCCACCCGCAGCTTGCTCACATAGCAACAAACTGTGGTTTGCCGTTACATCTGAATTATGCTGCTGTTTACCATATACTGTTCTGTTGCTTATGTAACAAAAGTAGGAGGACAGTACGTAGAAAGTAAAAAGAGGTTGTACATAGCCACATTGGTTCTGGAGAACTTGAAAGCTGGCATGCTGTTCTGTGTTGTTTTGGTTGGTCCTAATAAAAAGGAATTACAGGGCTATTTTTTGATAGCATGTAACACAGCAAATGAAAAGAAATGAAGCCCAGAGACAAAATGACTGCTCTAATAGCCAGTTCGTTCTGTGACCTGCATGTTAAAAGAGCAATAAAAAATTGCCTAGACAGCTGGTGTAGAGCAAAGAAATCCCTGTACAGCAGTTACAGGTTGGCACAGAGGGGGTAAGCTGCAATTCATGCTGGTGGTCAGGTATTATTCGCAACATATAACCTTCAAGCCCAAATCCTTGAGCTGTTTTGCCAGTCTCCCATTCCTTCAAGCTGGGTTATTTTTTTCAGTTTACAGAAATACATGTTACAATATTAGAATGGAAAACAAGCTGGTTTTGATGCACTGCAGCTGGTGGATATTGGTTTGCTGTACCTTGATGTTTATTTTTGCCCTACATTTGTTACAGGAGAAGGGCTCAAAGGTTCTGTTATATGTAGTGGAATAAATAATCTTCCAAAATGCTTTACAGTGTGAGAACAATGATTTTGTGAAGTAGGTTAGACTGAAAAGATCTTGGTTTACAGTTGCCACTGGTGAGATATAACTATATATACAAATCTCATTGCAATTTAGTAGGAAATCAAATTTGCCTCTGTTTTGCTCCTTAAACAGATGATGAAAATGAAGAGGTTGGTTCCCCTGCTCTGCCTGGCCAAGAATCTCAGGAGTCATCTACCTATGAGTCAGGCAATGCACCCACAAGCAATTACACTGGCATACATATCCCACCAGGCGCTCATGCTCCAGCTAACACTCCTGCTGATTCCTCACACCACGGGTATGCTGTTTGTTCTGCTTCTGATAACGTCAACTTCCTTCGCCTCATTTCTTAAGTACATCAAATGTATAATAATTTAGAGACTGAGGGGAAAAAGCTGTTGGCAGTTTCTGCTCGGAACCAATGAAATGAATGGATGCTGTACAGTAACTCTGCTGTTGGATGGTCCTGGTTAAGAGTGCAGATTAAGTTAAAATCACGCTGTACATTTATCTTTTTGTATTGAGTCTCTTTTAGCTTAATGATACCCATAAATGTCCCTCAGTGGAGATTTCTATTGGTATATGCATCCATAAAATTATTAGAAAGTTACCTGTCAACCCCTTCCAAATTTAAAAAGGAAGGGAAAAAAACAGTGGTGGGGGAACCATCAAAGGTAAAAACTTAAGTCTGTACATTGAGGTAGTGCTACACATGCTTTAAAAAGTATGGCTAGGAGCCAAAAAACTACATAAGGGGGCTTTCCTCCCCCCCCCCCTTTGAGCAGTGGTCCTTAATGTTAAGGACCGCCCTGGATTAGCATTGGAAGAGGAGTCCTCGGAGGAGGACAGCCTGCCCCCAAGCCCCACCCTGCCATACCATCCCAATGAGACAGACTTTCCAGTGCCTCCCCAAAGGGACCCAGAGCCATCACTGGCACCACCCCCTAAGCCAACAGGGCCCTTAGGCCAGGAGATCCTGGCATGAAACCACTCACAACCACACCCACCACAGTCTCCTGAAACACCGTAGGAGAAGAGGAGGCAAAGAGTTATGGCGAGGGTTGAGGCATGGTCCAGAAGCAGGAACGTGTGACCAGGAGCCCCAGGCCTCCCCTGTGCTAAAAAAAAAATGCTAGGAGAAACACATAAGTCCCCACACAGGATCTGGGTCCCAGTACTCCTTATGAGTACGGGAGCTGACTTAGCTGGTGAGGAGAAGCCTAAAGTGGAACTCAGCAACACCTTTAGCAAAACTCCCTATATAAGGCTGCAGAAAGGCTGTAGCCAGTGTGGGATCAACTTGTCTGCAGCTGTGCTGATGAGCCTACCAGTTACCTGCTTGTTTAAGCTCTTGGAACCTTGCTACCTGACCTTCAAGTACTTTTGGATTATAATTCTGGACTGTGCTCATGAACCTCAGACTTCGGACTGAAACGCTAGAACCCTTAATGTTGTGGCCCAGGACTTGCTTCCAACCTGTTGAGCAGAACATCAGGGAAAACTGCATTTTGAAGCTGAGCAGACTTTAAGAAATGGTTTATGACATAATCTGTTGTTCCAAGAATATTTTTTTAATCCTCTGACCATGCCTAGTCCAGTTTATGAGTCTCATTTAATCTTGTCTTTTGAACATACAAAACGGAAGGTTTGGTAGCAGTGACATGAATTTTCTAAAAAGAAATTGAAATATTTTCTACTAACATTGAGAGTCAGCTTGGTGTAGTGGTTAAGTGCGCGGACTCTAATCTGGGAGAACTGGGTTTGATTCCCCACTCCTCCACTTGCACCTGCTGGATGACCTTGGGCAAGCCATAGATCTTCGCTGTGGTCTCTGTGCAGTCCCACATATGGGTTGGGCACCTGTGCACGACTTCGACCGGAGAAACTTCCAGAGCTTGCCTCAGAAATCCTTTTTGCCAGGCTCTCTTCCCGCCCTGGGGAGCAGCCATGCACTGTGCATGCCTGGAGCGGGAGAGAGAGCTGCCTCCCACTCAGTTCCTTTTCAACTGCCTTCGTGTTCACACCTCACACACCTCTGCTCTTTAAATTGCCTCAGCTGAGTATTTTTGACCTTCTTCGGTTCTCTCCTTCGTTCTTATTCTTCCTGCTTCTTCATATTCTATTTAAACTCTGAAAGAAAGAAAACTTTCTTTTCCCCCCTCACTTTGTTTCTTAGTCCGCCCCCCCCCCCCCCCCGTCGGTACGGTGGCGTTTGTATGGAAAAGACAACATTTTTTAAGACGTTTCGTCGTCCAGCTAAAATTCCATCTAACAATGGTCATGATCTTTGTCTGTTTTGTTTGGGCGAAACCCATCGGGTTGATTCCTGCCCCCATTGTGCAAACTTTACCCATCAGGCCCGACAGAATTGAGTGGCCAGACTTAGTACCGTTCTTCTGGAGACAGCCTTGTGCCCAAACATGTCTTCAGCTGCTTCTCAGTCTTCACTTCATCAGAAGCCAGCAGAAAACCAAAAACTACCAAAGCATAAGCCGAAAAAGCATGATGATAAACTGGCGTCAAAATCGAAACCAAAACCTTTGACATCGACTTTGGCCCCGAAGCTCAATCCCGTGCTGATTTCCGGTCTATTGACCTCTACTCCTGTGGTGTCTTCAGTCCCTCCGCCTACTCAAAAGGCCAGTCTTCAGCCTCTGACGCCACAGTCGTATCCCACTGGGCCAATCCTCGAGATTGCCTTGCCGGTCTTCATCTCGTCATGAGTCTCGATCTCATTCCCATCATTCCCACACACCTATCCACATTTTGGATGACAGGGAGCACTTTTTCAGGGGTCGATCCCAATCCAGGTCCCATTATGACCGCAGACGGCTGGATCACCGTCGCTTGCCCTCTCCTTCAAGATCACTATCTGATTATCGATCGTGGTCCCCTGATGTCCGCTACCAGAGGCTGTACTATCCTCGTTCTTACTCCAGGTCTTCTACGCCTCGCTGAGATCGTTATGATCGACTTCGACATACTGAACGTCCCACACGCCGACAAGTTCCTGCGTACTCTGAATGTTTGCATTCTTTTACATCTGTGCATTCTCTAGCACTCAATCAGCCTCCAGAGCTCTTGAGGTCTGTGGATGCTCCGAAGAGTTCTCCCTTAGAACCTTGGTACCATCCACCTGCTGATGACCAGACGCCTATTGATATTTCTCAACCGTTGCGATCACCTTCTCCTTTGTCCCTATCAGACCACTCGGAATCTGGTGATCTTGATCCTGATATTCTACACATCGATGATGAGCCTTGTCGCTCAGGCTCCATATCTTCCACCGAAGGCCTTCTTGGAGCTTGTGACGAGAATGGCTGCTGCTCTTCAGGTCCAAGGCTCTACTGAGATGCCTGCAGTGACTGATGTGGTTCACAAACTCTTTCAGGCTGACTTGCCACCATCTACAGTCGTGCCTCTGCTTCCTGTACACCTCTCAGTTCTCAAGGAATTGTGCCAGACGCCTATTGATATTTCTCAACCGTTGCGATCACCTTCTCCTTTGTCCCTATCAGACCACTCGGAATCTGGTGATCTTGATCCTGATATTCTACACATCGATGATGAGCCTTGTCGCTCAGGCTCCATATCTTCCACCGAAGGCCTTCTTGGAGCTTGTGACGAGAATGACTGCTGCTCTTCAGGTCCAAGGCTCTACTGAGATGCCTGCAGTGACTGATGTGGTTCACAAACTCTTTCAGGCTGACTTGCCACCATCTACAGTCGTGCCTCTGCTTCCTGTACACCTCTCAGTTCTCAAGGAATTGTGGGATCACCCTGCTTCTGTTCCCCCGATATTGAGATGTTATGAGGGCCTCTATAAGATTCAAGAGGGAGTTCCTTTTTACTCAGCCTCCACCGAATTCGATGGTTGTGCACTTGTCTTCAAAGTCTAAGCAACCAGTCCAGCAATCCACTCCGCCCAATCGCGAGGGCCGCAAAGTTGATGCTATTGCCAAGAAAATGTATTTGGTTGCTTCTATGAATGTTAGAATCGATACCTATCTTTCAGCCTATGCCTTTAATGTGGCCACTGCAGTTCGTCCCGTTCTTGACTTGGTCCCAGAGGAGCACCACCTTACTTTGTCGACTGCTTTATCTGAAATCTGTACGATCTCTAAGCAGCAGATCAATTCTATTTGTCATGCTGTCACCTGTTCTTCTAAGGTCCTTGTCTCTTCCGTTGCTCTCCGTCGTCACGCTTGGCTTCAGAGCACCTCTCTTCAACCAGATGTTACATTCCGGATTGAAGACCTCCCTTTCGATGGCGAGGTACTCTTCCACTCTACCACTGACGAAGCTTTGAAGGCTGTTGATGATAGCCGAAAGCAGGCTCGAAACCTTGGAGTCTCGACTTCCACACCTCAACCCCGATACCATTCCTGGAGACCTCACCCGTCTCCTGCAACCACTTCTCAGTGGAAAAAGAGGCCTTATGATTCCCGCCAGTCTCACTGACCCCGGCAGCAGGCCCTTAAGAACCCCAGCAACCAAAACAGTCTATTTGACCACTTCAATTGCCTGCCTTCACCCCTCCCGTTTGGACTCGATTCTTCCCCTTCCTTCCAACCTGGGAAGAAATTTCCACCGACTCCTGGGTCCTCACCATCGTACAGGTCGGGTACGTCATAGAGTTCGTTTCACACACACACACCCGTCCTCCCTCATTTTGTCGTCACACCCCCAGATCCCTCACTCTCCCTGGAGATTTCCGCCCTTCTCGACAAGGGTGCCATCGAGATAATCCCAGAGGTGCAATGAACCCTAGGCTTCTACTCCAAGTATTTCCTAGTTCTGAAATGAGACGGCGGCTTGCGGGCCATCATAGATCTTCAGGATCTAAATCGATACATTCAATTCTACAAGTTTTGAATGGTGACTCTCTAATCCATTCTTCCTCTTCCCAAGTCTGGCTGGCTGGTGTCCATAAACCTCCAGGACGTTTATTTTCATATTACCATCCGTCCCCAACATCGGAAATTCCTATGTTTCGCTGTCGGAAACGCACATTACCAGTATCAAGTCCTCCCGTTCGGACTTTCCACTGCCCCAAGGGTTTTTACCAAACTGATGGCGGCTGTGGCTGCGGACCTTCATCATCGAGGGATTGCCCTTTATCCCTATATCGACAATTGGCTTCTGGTTGCCCCTACGGAGAACCAGCTAGCCCAAGACGTACACTCGACCCTCTTCCTTCTTCGTGCCAACCTACCCAAATCGACTCCGCCCTACTCAGATCCTGGAGTTTTTGGGCCACCCGCCTTGATATGACCACCAAGACCGCCTTTCTTCCAGAATCGAGAGCCTCGGACATAATCTCGCTGGTGTCCGCACTCCAGTCCTTTCTCTGACAATCCGCTCGGTCCATCATGAGGCTCCTGGGCTACTTCACATCCACAGTCTTCGTTGTTCAGCACGCCAGACTCAGGATGCATCTTCTCCAACTTTGGCTTCTCCACACTTTCGATCCTCTCTGGAGTCTGTGGCACAAGATCCTTTCGATCCCAATTCCAGTCATCGACTCCCTCTCCTGGTGGTCCTTTCCTCAGCATCTCCTCTCCAGCATGCCCTTTTGGCATCCTCCTCCACAGATTTTGCTGTCCACAGATGCATTCCTCTGGGGTTGGGGAGCCCAGTGCGGAATGCTCTCGACCAAGGGGACGTGGTCTCATCAGGAAACCACCTTTCACATCAATGCACTGGAACTGCAAGCCGTTCATCTCGCTCTACGATCCTTTCTCAGCATCTCCTCTCCGGCATCTCCTTCCTCAGCATCTCCTCTCCGGCATGCCCTTTTGGCATCCTCCTCCACAGATTTCTCTGTCCACAGATGCATTTCTCTGGGGTTGGGGAGCCCAGTGCAGAATGCTCTCGACCAAGGGGACGTGGTCTCATCGGGAAGCCACCTTTCACATCAGTGCACTGGAACTGCGAGCTGTTCATCTCGCTCTATGATCCTTTCTTCCGATACTGCGGGGCAAAGTCATCCAAGTTGCCTTGGACAATACCACCACTGTTTTCTATATAAACAAGCAGGGCGGGACTGCCTCTCTTCGCCTCTGCAGAGCGGCCATCGATCTCTGGAACTGGTGTCTCCACCATTCAATCATGCTTTCGGCGATACACATCCCAGGCATTCAAAATGTCGATGCCGATCGTTTGAGCCGTTCAGGAACGTCGGACAATGAATGGTCCATCCATCTTCGATACCTGCGACCGGTCTTCCTCGACTTCAGTCGTCCGACCGTTGGCAGCTTCGCCACTGCGGAGAATGCTCACTGTCGCCTCTTCTTCACCAGAGGTCCCCCGTCTGCTCGATCTCTTGGAGATGCCTTTCTTCACATGTGGAAGGGAACCCTGTTTTATTTCTTCCCGCCTATGTCATTCAGAAGATTGTGGCCGATGCCACATCCTGCATTCTCATCACGCCCTGGTGGCCACGCCAAGTATGGTTTCCACACCTCCTCCATCTCTCCAAGGGGAGGTTCTGGCCCCTGCCTCTCATCTCCAATCTCCTCTCTCGGGATTGAGGCAGGATCCTGCACCACAATCCGGCCTTCTTCCGGTTGACTGCCTGGAAGATCCTGCACTAGACTTTCCACCAGAAGTGTCTGAAGTCCTCCTTAATTCAAGGAAGCCCTCTACCCGTACTGCTTACCGGTTGAAGTGGAAGAGGTTCCAATCTTATGCCTCCCACCATTCCTTTGATCCAATCCAGGCGTCTCTCCATGAGATCTTCTTCTATGTTGTCTCCTTGAAGGACTCTGGCCTCACTTACTCTTCCTTACGGGTCCACTTGGCAGTCATCTCCGCGTACCATCCCTTGATATAGGGCTCTACAGTTTTTTCGCACCGTCTCACAAAGTCCTTCCTTAAAGGTCGTCTTCAGCTGTGTCCCCCGCGAAAGCCCCTTGTACCTTCGTGGAGTCTCACTTCTCCTGACTCAACTGATGACTAAGCCATTCAAACCAATGGCTTCCGTAGATCTTCAGTTACTCTCATGGAAGACGGCCTTCCTGATTGCAATTATGACTGCTTACCAGGTAGGGGAACTTGCTGCCTTTCGAGCTGATCCCCCCTGTACAATTTTCCATAAGGAGAAGGTTGTTCTCAGACCAGATTCCTTCTTTCCTCCCTAAAGTCGTTTCTCCCTTTCATCTGTCTCAGTCGTCTATCTTACCTACCTTCTTAACAAACCCAGTTGACGCACCTCAAAGGGCCTTACACTGCCTCGACGTTCGCAGAGCGCTCTCATTTTATTTGCACTGGACAAAGCCTCTTCATAAGTCTCCTAGGCTTTTCGTTGCCTACGGTCCCCCATCTGCGGGGGAGCCGATTTCGTCTCAACGCTTATCGAAATGGATGACTTCCACCATAGCCCTTTGCTATGAGCTGGGACATCAACCTATTCCTCCCTGTATTACTGCCCACTCCACACGGGCAGTATCGACATCGACGGCTTTCCTGGTGGTGTCCTGTTAGAAGACGTCTGTGCTGCTGCTACGTAGTCTTCGGCATTGACCTTTGTGTCCCACTATGCACTAGACGTTAGAGCTCGACAGGATGCTGCATTTGGCCAGGCAGTGCTACGATCTCTCTTCGCTTGATCCTTCTGCTTCTTCAGGTAGGACCTGTGAATTTAAATCATGATGCTGTGTCTTAACAAATATTTTTGTATCTTTCAGCTGCCAGCTCCCTCCTCCAACTGGTTCAGCTCTTGTACTCACCCATGTGTGGGACTGCATAGAGACCACGACGAAGATAAACAGGTTGCTTACCTGTAACTGATGATCTTTGAGTGGTCATCTGTGCAGTACCATAATCCCACCCTTCCCCACTGCTGGCATCTCCTGATCACTTACCTTAAGTTGATGGGACTTACCTGTAGTGGTCAAAGGAACTGAGTGGGAGGCGGCTCTCTCCCCCACTCCAGGCATGCGCAGTGCGTGCCTGCTCCCTAAGGCGGGAAGGATTTCTGAGGCAAGTTCTGCCAAAAAGGATTTCTGAGGCAAGTTCTGGAAGTTTCTCCGGTCGAGGTCATGTGCAGGTGCCCAACCCATGTGTGGTACTGCACAGATGACCACTCGAAGATCATCAGTTACAGGTAATCAACTTGTTTTTCTGGCACAGCTGTTCTTGAAGAAGAGCAGTTCCCTTGGAGCTCTCTCAGCCCCACCTACCTCACAGGGTGTCTGTTGTGGGGAGGGAAAGGGAAAGGAATTTGTAAGATGCTCTGAGACTCCTTTGGGTAGTGAAGGGCGGGGTATAAATCCAATCTCCTCCTCCGCCTCCTTCACAGTTTTAGAAGTAGAAAACATAAAATGATGCTAAATAAGAACACTAACATAGTCTGCAGTCTTATGTACACTTGGTAGTAAACCCAAATGAACAGCAGGATCAGGAATTAGCCCTGAATCAACATACTTAAGATTATGTTGTTACCCTAACAAGTATATTACCACTAGGAACTTTTTATCATTCTATAAAATATTGACAGGTTCTAACAAAGAGGGATTCCAATGATTTCCTTTCCATCTTCATTATAGCAAAGTGGTCATAGGTGGGATTATTAACTCTTTGAAATAATAGGAGATGGCTAGCCATATGTTCTATTTCTTAACTCTACAGTTTTTCTTCATCATGCAGTGGCATACAGTGTCCTTGTGTTATTTTTATGATCTAATCTCTTTATACAAGTGTTTCTGTTTTGAGTAACAGTTTCAGTGGACTTTTTGAATTTGTTTGAAGCTTTGTAGTCGCATATGAAACTTTGCAAATGCTAAATTATGTATAAATTACTGGTTTAAAGTTTTCTAGAATTATTCTGAAACATTACACTTTGCCCCCCAGTTCCAGTTCAGATAGTTCCAAGAGTGTGCAGATAGAATAAGCCAAGTAGTAATTTCCTGTTAGTGTATGAATTTTAAAAAGCTTTGATAGTGTTTCTGTAGTCTTTTGTACCAAACAGCATGCTTCTTGGACTTATCCTGTCTTTAGTCTTGTAAGAAAGTCACAGTGCAGTCCTACTAAGAATCCTACTGACATCTGCTCAGTGGGATTTGCTCCTGGGAAAGTGTTTTTAGTACTGTTAGGCTGGAAGACTGGTTTGAATCAGCTGGAGAATCTCCATGTGTGGAGTCCCTTATCCCCTCCTCCCACAGCACACTTCTTACTCTCCACCTGTGCTGTTCTTGGGAGTGCCTCGTGCCTCTGGAGCAGTGTTTGGGGAGCATCTGCAATGAAGTCATTCTGTGTGGATCCTTTCAGTGGATCTAAGCCATTGATGTGCAGATGACGGTATTTCTCTAAATACACTCAAACTTCTCTCTTGAATTACCTACAGGTGTGACAAGTGCTTCAATTCAACCAACTCCTCAAAATGTCCCCATCGTAGATCCTTCACTTTATGATGTTCAGCCTGCAGGTGCGTAAGTCTCCGGAGGTACTCAAATGAAATACATGAAGTTCGAAGTAGGGACATTATTCTCCCTGCTTTTCCCTTGCTTTGCGGGCTTTCTCTGAAGCAAGGGTGAATTGAGGTTTCAGACAACATTTAAATGAAGGAGGACAGAAAGGGATAGTAGGCCCTAGAAGAATGCACTGCGAAAATCCCAGTTTAGCCTGCAGAGGCAAAGCAGCCCCTTTCACACAGCTAATTTGTTGCTAGGAAACAGGATCTGCAAAGAGAGCTTCTGTCTGCAGAGGCAGTGTCACATAAGGGAACAAACTGGGCACTCAGCCAACAGATATAGCTCATCAAAGAGAAACAGCCAATCAAAACCACAGGAAAAGAAAGAAGGCAAATGGCTTAGACAAGATGTATCCCAAAGAAATTGCTGCATTTTGGCAGCCAAACCATGGTAAAAAGTCAATTTGAAAAGGACTGATCCACAGGCACCTTCCAGGAGAATATGAAGTGTTTAAAATATCCATTTATACTAGAAATGTCTTATTTACATTATTGAAAAATATTTATTGTAAAGCCACTATGATTGTTGGCGAACCCAGACCCTGGTGTGTTCTTTATGGTCTTTGGGTACTCCCATGAGGAGATTGCCATAGAAGACATATCTACTGTAAAGGTAAAGGTTCCCTTTCTCGAAAGTCAGTCGAATCCCACTCTAGGGTTGTATACTAAGGCACCTGATTGGCAGCATAGTTCCATTGAAACTGAACTTAAGAATGTTTAACTCCATTAGAGTGTGGAGTAGACTTAGTATCCTTGAATCCTAGTGTTTGCAATGAGCAAAAAATACCTAGCACCAGCAGGATGTACTCTGTAACATAGCAATGCCTCCACAGTGGCAGACATGCAGTGGAGACAGAAAAGAGAGTGAAGAGCTAAGCCAGTATCTCCATTTTGAGTACACATTCAACAAGTTCTAAGTTGATAGTGTTCACACTGTTCCCAGGAAACCATGGTAGTTCTCAGTAAGATTGCTAGTAATGGTGGACAAGCATTGCCAAACAACAACTGTCTCATCCACTACCATTCTTATTCCTGCAATGTGTAGGTACAGGGGAGCATTGTGTCTGTTCTAGATCACGTTCTGAGATCTCATGTATCAACAGAAAGGCTCAATGAGCTTAATTAGAGTGTGGCATGAATTGATTGTGCCCTGTGGAATATACTGCAAAATACACAGGAGTACGGTGTCAGATCCACAGAGATTCCTCAGCAGACATTCGCTTGGTTAAGTGTCTTCTATAGCTAGAATATTTGCACAATTCTGCTCTAAGGTTCAGAAGTTAACATTGCTCAAAATATGTCCAATTTGTCATAGTTCAAGGAGAGATAGCGGAAGTCCTGCATAACTCTTCAATTCGGAGTGCTCTCAAGGTTTTTTTAAATAATTAGCACCCAGTTACTTGAATGCTGTTTTTATGTATGACTTCTGCAAATAGAAACTTGAAACCATCCATAGTCTTTTGTTCACAAACAGCAAGTAGTTTGTGAATCTTATTCTGCAAGTTACCACATTCATATATATAAACTAGGGCATGGGGGATCCACAGGAGAATCTCATTTCCCCAGTCCCTCATTCTTTACCTTTCTCCCACCATCAGATTTCCCTTTTGCTTCACTCCCATACAGATGTACCTTTATTCCTATCTGTAACTTCCTTCTTTTATTTTCCCTTTTAAAAATTTGTCTCTGTCTCCCACGCTGACACAACTCATATTTGGAATCCTCAGTAATATTGGTATTGGGTTGCCTAGTAACCCTGAAAATGGACAACATAGTATCAAGGGCATACTTTTCTTATGGAAGCAGACATTGCTTTGATGATTTTTTGAGTTTGCCTAACCCCCAGTGCATTTGTTTACATTTCGTGTTTTTCTATGCTTCTCCTAGGCTTGTGGGGAAAATCTCCCCAATTTGTTCTTGTCCTTTTTAATCCACACTTTATGGTCTGGTTCAAAATTAGATTTAATATCTGCTTCAGTGTACAGTCTGCCTTTTCCATCATGGAACTCTTAAAAAACTTATATAAGATTCTCTGGCGATCTCCCATCCAGGCATTGGCCAGAACCGAATATTCATAGCCTCTGCAGAGTTGTTACAGCATGGGTCCTTTAGCCATACCCATTTTATACTAAGTGGAAAATAGAGACAAGAGGCGGCTTGCAAGAAGCTTGTGGGGAGAGGGCATTTTCCTGCCTTTGCTTCCTTTCCTCTTCCCCCCTTCTCTGTCAGAGTTTCCTCCTCTTTCTGCCCCCACCACTGATCTATCATTCTTCCCTAATGCTGCTTCTTCCCTCACCCGCTCAATGTCAATTTTTCCTCCCTCCCTTACCCCTTCTCTAGTAATCCTCTTACCCCACTTTCTCCCCTCACTCATTGTATGTCAGTTTGCCCCCTCTTACCTTAGCCCTTCTCAGACAATGTCCCCCTTCTGTTCCCCCGCCCCTTCTCAATCTGCCACTCTTTCTCTCCCCTCTGTTTCTCTTCCCCAGACAATCTCCTCCGTTCTGCCCACCTTCAGTCTCCCTTCTTTCTCTCTCCCACAAGACAACCCCCCTTTTTCTGTCTTCCCCCCTCAGACAATTCCCCTTCTGTCTCTTTATTTCTCCACCCAGACAACACACCACCTTTATCTCTCTCTCTCTCCCCCAAGACAATCCCCCTTCTCCCCCCCCACCTTTGAGCCTGCCGGCAGCAGTTCCTGGGAGCAGCTCCTAGCATCTGCTGCAACCAGGGCCAGGGCAGCTCCGCCATCACAGCAGCTGCTGCCACCAGGATTCTGGCCTCCACCACAGCAGCAGCCAGCTGGGCCCCACAACGTTTTAATTTGGGGGGGGAGGGGGATTTAAACTCCAGTGTATTTTTTAACATTTTAGATTTTTCTGAAAACCAGAAAAATCAGTTTGGGGTAAGAATGGCCCTGATCTGCAAATTTAGATACCCACAGACGGGGGTCACATTTGAGAAATAGTATATAGGCAGCACTTAAACGTGTTAAGGTTCAAAAGAGGATTTGGATTATTTCTGATCTCACATGTTTATTACATGTTTTTAAATCTTTTTGAAAAGCAGCTGCCAATTGGATGTTTCTATAGTACTGTAAAAGCTTCAGCTTTCTTATGAGAGCTTTTTATCTTGATCCAAGCAGTGGCTAAGCACACGTGCAGAAACAGGTCTTCATGCATGCCTTCTCTGCTAAATCAGTTATTTACACGAGGAAGTTGCATAATATAGCTCACATACTGGATAGTATAGACTGAACCCTAAAAACTCATTACACTGTGTTAATTTGTTTTTTGTTTGTTTTTTTAATATTCAGGTTACGCTCTATATTTGCAACCATAAAATTACTGTTTTGGTATTAACTTGTGGGTTTTTATTAAATGTCTGTAATCTCAAAGAAACTAGCATGCAGCCAGTTTTTTCAATAGGTACAAACATTCTCAGACACCAATTTTTATTATAAACAATTTTCCTTCTTTTTCTGTGAAATATATGCATTTTCAGCTTCCAATTTCAGTTCCTTGCTGCCTAGGTTGAAAGATTCATCATTAGTGGAAGTTAACTGTAGACTGTTAGATTTCAGTAATGAATATAACTACTATGCTAATATTATGTTTGGAAGTGCAGAGGGTCTGGCTTCTTGCAGACTACATGAGGCATGGCTTTTCCCATGTGTCAATATTTTTGGTATTTCAGAATTTAGCTCTTTCAAATTATGCAGGTTGAAAGCAACTACCACATATACTAACACTTTTCTAAATGTTGCTTTTCTTGAAATAAGTGCTCAAGTTTTCTCTCTCTTTCACATGCACATGTTGTAAGCCCTTTCCTGAAATGTTGCTATAATGGTATCTGAAGCAGCCCTCATAATAATAAATAAGACCTTTTGTCAACAGAACATGTAATAGAGTAGGTACTGTAAAAATAAGATTAGATTGGTTAATTTAGGCTTTGTTCCAGCAAATCTGTTGAATACTGGACTGATGCCTTGCTGTTTTCCAAAAGAACGTTTTTCAAGTTGCTTTTGGCATCATAATATGAAAAACAAAATGTCCTTGAGTTGGCCTTTAGGGTAATTTGTTCTTGCCATTTTTTTTTCCAAAAAGAGAAGAGGTCACCATTGACCAAAGTTAAAAAGTTAAAAGTAGATTTAATACTGCCATCAGGTACAGATGCTAGTCTCTTTGATGCAGTTTTAAACTTTGCATTATTTTAAGAAAGTTATAACTAGCCCTTTCAGTTTGGTTTCTTAATTTTATACAATACAGATGAGTTATTTAATGTCATGTTGGAATGTCCATTGTATGCACTGAATACAGAGATGCTCGACTTCTGTTAAAAGAAATGAGACTGAAGCATGCATCATTTGTAAAATAATATACAAAGTGCCTTTACTATAGATTCAACTGTCTTGGTCTTGCAGTTTTCCCAGTTCTAAGAGAACAGCAGTTTCAAATTGAAAACTGATATAACTGTATTTGAGGAAATTATATTTACAGGCCAAAGTATGCCTGAGATATCCCCTGCGTTCCATTATCACCTCTTAAAACTGCAGAGCATTCTTTTCCACTTTAAACCTGTGTTGCACAAAGACAGTTGTGAAGATGCGTCATTGTCAAAAGGTCCTAGTATATGCAGAATACTTCCCCTACTGGAGATTTAACCAAAGTATCTTGCAAAAACTTTATGGGACTTTTAATATCAGTTGTCTTTTAGTGATTAGAGCCAGTGCTGTATGATGGCAAGAGTACAGTGTTCATAAATATTATGTTTTTATATGTTTTTATTTATACCAAGCATTTTGGGGTAAGGGAACAACAAACCAAATTAAATAAAACTTTTTCTGTTGAGTTCAAATTAGTATGTGAACTATAACCCACCATTACTTTTTGGGCTTTTTGGCCTCTTGTGTTACCAGAGAAGAAGAAAAGCGCATCTTTCTCTCTTCTGGCCACCCCCTCTCCATGTATCTGACGCTTGGATATAGATGTAATTGCAGAAATTGATTTCATACTCTGTTGCCTACATGTTTGCTGTCAAATAGCAATACATTACATCAGCTCAGCCAGTGTCAAGACAGAGGAAGCCATAAAAAGCAAAGTCGCACCCTAATAGAGGCTTGTTTCATAGCACTAGTTATTTATCATACCACCTTCCTTGAGGCAAGCATGAAGCTGAATACATAAAAATACATAAAGCAACAAAATGTGAACTCAAAAGCAAAACATTTTAAGTGAACAGTTCTAGCTAAGAACTACTTAAAACAGGGTCAGTCTGAAGATTGTATACTGTCTTTCCTCCTACAATCTCAGGATAGTTTACATAGGGTTTCTTTTTCAAAGGAGAAAATTGAATGTGGCTGTCTGCTTTTAAAACTTGTTTTATGTTGAAATTTGTACAGTTCTATCAAACCTTAATTGGCTAGCAGTTAAGCTGGGAGTACTAACAGTGCAATCCTAAACCAAGTTACCTAAACAGATTGGCTTTAGAAGGGTGTAACTCTGCTTGATTGCACTGTTATTCTTGCTTTATAATTTTATTGCAAATGAGCACCCTGCTATGTTAATATAAAGGTAAAAATATTCTACTGTTTATACTACAATGCTGGTGTGTTAATAGTATCAACTACGTGTTTGGCTCCCTTTCACCTACAGGGAAAAGAAAATGTGGCAGTGCCCATATCTTGCATCAGGGAATGAGGGTATCTTGTAACAGGGGACTTTCCCGTATTTAGACAAATTATACAGAAATGGCATGAATAGCTTTACTTGTATTTCAAGCTGGGGGAAAAAAGAAAATGTAAGGTTAACGCATGAGGCACTGTTCTTGTTTTTGTGCAGATTGTAACATGATTACCCTTAACGGGCTAAAGTTTTTAAAAGCCTTCCTTAGTGGCTTCAGATAAAGGGCAAATCTCTCTCAACAGTATTGGCTTACTCATAAAGGGTACCAGATGACTTTAGTATTCACTGCTGATACTAACAAACCATTTCAAATTGTTGAGTAAATATGTATTTCATGTAATTTGCTGTGACCCCAAAGCTTAGTCATCTATTTTTATTTTCACAGGGGAAATTCATTTGACTCCTGAAGATTTCGCCAGGGCTCAGAAATACTGCAAATATGCTGGTAGTGCTTTGCAATATGAAGATGTGAGTGCTGCCGTTGAGAATCTACAGAAAGCTCTCAAGTTACTGACTACAGGCAGAGAATGATGCTTTTGTCCAACAGATTCATGACTGGCACCTAAAGAGCTAACAGTCCATTACTCCTGCTTTCAACCTGTGAGGGAAACAGTTGCACAAAAGCATTTGATTTCTTGTGACAGCAAAAAGAAATCTGTGTGTCTGTATAAGATTCTTTCCATAGACTAGTGTGGCGCTATAGCCCCTCACCCTTCAAATGTTGGAATAGAGGAATAAAAGTGATCTGACTACCATAGTTTAAATTCTGGATGCCAGTTCGTGGCATTTCTAGTTCATGGCTATAAAATGCCCCAACATTTATCTCGTTCATGAAAATGTTTATATTCACAAACTTGGAAGAAGAAAAAGGAACAGTTTTGAAAACAAAGTACACTTTTTAATTGGATATTCATATAATAAAACATGCCGGAAGAAGAGCTGCAGATGTTTTTTTTTCCCTTTTATTTTGCTGGGGGGAGGGAACTGTTATATCAACCATAAAAGCTTTAAAGATCCCCTAGGCAAACCACTGTGTTCTTGATCAAAGCACTCTTCCTCTTTATGTGGTTGGTTTCATTTTGGAGATGAAAGATGATAATACACCTCAAATCTAAAATCTAGATCCAAACACCTGAATTTTGAGAGAATGTGTGTTTGCTGGCAATATTGGAGGAGAACATGGCTGTAATGGGAAGATGAAATATTTGGACTTGAAGGAAGTTGAGAGTTCATTATTCACATCTGCTGTTCACCCAGAGAAAGATTTTTTCACAGTCCCTGATTTGTATACTCCACTAATATGTTGAATCCTCTATAAGTGTTGTTGAATTAGGAATATGCTAAACATGCATTTATGCTTTTAACAATAAATAAAAATCTTTTAGTATCAAAAGTGAATACACGAAACTTCTTCTGCTAAACAACATTTCAATTTTAAAAAATTCTACTAAGACTGTTATATTCATCCCCGTCTTGTGTGAAATGAAACAGTGACAGATTTCACTTTTTTAGAAAAGGAGAGGACCTTCTCATACTTAAAAAGGCTGATACATTGTTCAAGGCTTATGCTAACTACAAGGAAGAGCATGTTGGGAGCAGTGTTCATAATATCTCTGAGCATTTTAATTGAGCAAGGTCTAATTATAAGACAAGTTTATTTTATTTTTTTCCAATTTCCCCTGTAGGGTTGGTGCTTGATTTAGATGGCTCTGAGAATGATAGTTTCACAGCTTCAAGACATTTGTCTTTTGATAAGATCACTGATGTTTTTCTTCAGCTGAAGAAAATGATACTCTTCCAAATACACTTTATATTCTTCTTTGCAAACGTGCCGCTATTACAACAGTTATTGGCACCTGTTCTAAAAAGTTTGCTCTGACCATATATTTAATATTTATGTAGCATTTGAGTATTGCAAGCACTTCTCATTCATTGACTACATTCGGACACCATGGACAAACTTCACTTTAAACTCTTAGAACATATACCCCTCCTTCCACTTCTTGTGTGTGCTATACCAAGATCAATGACCTCCTAACTTAAAATTGACTGCAGATGGTTGTACAATCAAGTGTAGTTTGTTTGTTGCCTACAGACCAAGTTTCTAGACAGATGTTTAGTCCTAGTTTTATAGGCAAACAACATTGCAGTCTCTTAAAGAACAAGTTTGGGTCTTCACAGCGATTTTTAGTTAGTTCTAAACCTCAAAGCCCTCAGTCTTGGCAGAGGAGGGAGGGAGGACAGGAGCCCAAAGACTTCCAGGCAAGTCTTTTGATGAAAACCGTGATGTAATCTGCGAATGTAACCGTTAAAACAATGTTGAAAGAGGTGAGTATTGGTATCCCCACATTGTAAATTGGAAGGGTGGCTTAGGTGAGAGAGAGTGGCTTGCCTAAAGATATCTAGTGAACTTACAGCGAAGATTCTAAGGGGTCTTTTGCACATGCTAAATAATGCCATTTCAGTCCACTTCAGCAACTGCAAGTGGATTTTGCCATTTCACACAGCAAAATCCAGTTGCAAAGTGCATTGAAAGTGGGTTGAAAGTGTTATTTAGTGTGTGTGAAAGAATCCTAACTCATCTGAATCTTGTGTAAGCAGAAGGGTCTTGAATTCATGCAGTACGGAATGAGAGTCCAAGCCTTGCCTAATGCCTCATTAAGACACTTAACAGTGCAATTTTAAGAACGCTTTACTGAGAGTAAGTCCCATTGAGTAGACTGCTTAGGATGCAACTGTTGATTTCATTGAAACCTGTTTTCTTTCTACTAGTATCATTTTGTTATTATAAATGCTGCTATGGTAGAGAGAACTACTTCATATGGTCTTTCTGTTTAGTTTCTTGAATTGCATAACTTGCAGGGGGGAAATGCTTATTGGAATTCTCTGTTTCCTCCAATTGAGAAGTTGGTTCAGATTTGGCTCAATTTAAAATGAATACAGTATTCTATATAAAACTTTTCATCCAAATAAATTCTCAAATTCTTGTAAATTCCAAAAATGGAAAATATTGTGGTTTCCCCATTGTCTCTTGCATCAGCTGAACATGGAAACTTTCTATAGTCGCAAATTCTATACAACTGCTCTCCAGAACTCACATGTAGCCAATTTAAATGCTATGGGTACACTGAAACTCATTGCTGTTGTCATCTAATCTTTGGCTTTAGGTATCATTAGATCTTTATTTTTCAACAATTGCCTTGAGTATGCTGCCTTGCCCACGTTCCCCTTTGGCACTCTGTGGGAAGTTGCTTGAATGCAGAATCAGGGCAGTAACACCTACGGATACATCTGACTTTGCTGGAATGGCTTTATTGGAAATTCTAGTCTCCTACTAGCCAAACCCAATCCTACACTCCTTTTTACCCTATCTGAACTTGAGCTTTGAAAATAAAAGCATTGCCTGGCATCTCAAGGTCTGATGCTTTTCTTGGCCATCGGATTCTACACTATGTCTAGAATATTAATATTAAACTGGAGGCTGGCGATGTCCTGTTGTATTGTTTATTTGTTGTGTTCTAATAAATACCATTCTTCTACTACTTCTGCCTCTGCTACTATGATTCCCGGCTTACTAGAAAACATCACATCCTGAGGTTTGAATCTTCATGCATAATCAGCAAAAGAACTGTTAAATATATCATGATGACCTGCTGTTTTTTAGTCTCTGTCTCAACAGTGTGGGAGCAGCTGCTTCAAGACCGCCTCCTGCACAGCGGGGACAATGCTGTAAAAGACCTGGCCCTGGGGGGACAGGACCCGTGGAGCTGGTACAGTGCAGTTGTGTCATTTAAATTGGCTTTCAGCTGTGTGGGACCTGCCTACTGACAGGCAGCTACAACACAGCTGGAAGAATATTTAAAGGACATTGTTATTTAATGATAAAGATGCCCATCTTTTTACTGGATGGAATGGCACATATTCTGAGCTAATTTTGTTTCTCTGTTGTCTCTGAGTTATTTGCTTCACACACAATAAATGGGGTAAATAATTTTGAGTGTTGCTTTGTTTTCATGTCGTTTTGGCTGTACTTCCTGTTAACTTGAGTTACTCTTGGCTTTCTCCATCTCATATATTTTAAGGAGACCACAATGAAACAGGACTGCAAAAGAGTAGCGCCATTTTACCATTTTTGTATTTGATTCTTGTCATGTTTAATATTTAAAAATTGTTTCCTTGAAAGTTGGGGTTGATCAGTTTTGAGCAGAGTATTTTTAAGGACAGCTTAGGATATAGAAACCAAAAGAGAGGCATCTATAGAAATGAAACTTTAAAAAGACACTTATTGAGAACTTAGCTATTTGTGGTGGAGTACCAGATCTATAAAAGGAGCTGCGGTGGCTCAAATGGTTAAGACGCTGAACTGCAGGCTGTGGAAGGTCAGTAGTTCAGCAGTTCGAGACCCGAGTTGCCGCATGACGGAGTGAGCTCCCATCTCTAGTTCCAGCTCCTGCCAACCTAGCAGTTCGAAAGCAAGAAATTGCAAGTAGATAAATAGGTACCACTTCGGTGGGAAGGTAACAGCATTCCGTGCGCCTTGGTTAGTCATGCCGGCCACATGACCACGGAAATGTCTTCGGACAGCGCTGGCTCTTCGCTTTGAAACGGAGATGAGCACTGCAACCCTAGAGTCGGATTCGACTGGCTTTCGAGCAAGGGAACCTTTACCTTTACCAGATCTATGCTACGTAAACAGGAAGTAGGGTTGCCAACCTCCAGGTGGTGGCTGAAGATCTCCCACTATTATAACCAATCTCCTGGCAACAAATCAGTTAGCCTGGAGAAAATCACTGCTTTGAAAGGTGGACTCTATTATACTACATTGAAGTCCCTCCCCTCCTGAAACCCTGTCCTCAGGCTCCACCCCCAAACTCCCCAGGTAGTTCCCCATCCGGGGCTGGCAACCCTAACTGGAGGCAAGGACAAAGAGCTGAAATAAGAGTGTTACAGGTGAGAACTTGACAGGAATCTCTGCTAGAGAACTTAGCTACCACAAGGCAGGAAAAGAGCTGAAAGAAATCAGGCTGAGGTTAAAAATAATTGTTTTGTCAAAAACTGCCATATTTCCCTTTGTTGTGTAAGTACCTTAGTCTCTGATGCTAAGGCTGACGACCTGCAGGTGGGGCCTGGAGACCTCCCAGGATTACAACTGATCTCAAGATTACAGTGATCAGTTCCCCTGGAGAAAATGGCTGCCTTGCTGAGGCCTCACCCACTAGCCTATCCAGGCTTCAGCCCCAAATCTCCAGGGTCTCCCCAGCCCATACCTGGCAACCCTACTTTATGGCATGCAGCATGTCAAAAGCCATCTTACTCCATCAGGTAGTTGTATATTAGTTGGCTACTATAAGAAGTGTATAAGCTGTTATAGGCTTGTTGGATTGAGGCAGCCAACAGAAAAACAGACTAATTGGTGGAAGTATGAAAGCATTTTGGAGGAAAGGAGCCAGATCAGGCCTTCTGAAACTATTTTAGCTTTCCTCTTCTCTCCCACACAGCCTACTGCTGTGAGTGTGACGAGGACTATAAGGGGAGTTTCTGAGAACATGCATTTCTAAATGCATTATTTTCTGAGATGCTCTTGTGGGATATGAGGGAGGGGAAATGAGGGAGGGGACCCCACTAAATGCTTCCTCTTCTTTTTGCCGCTGTTTGTAGGAGTTTATACAGTTTTAGAGTTGAGAGGAGTTTCTTCCTTTTGCACTCATGTATGGTATTGTTCCAGATGACCCAGCTGGTGCTTATTGCCTGATGTGTACTTCTTGGATTCTATACTGCCAAGCAAGCATAGCATTTTGAAGTGTACATGCAGATTTGCTACCAGCTGTGGAGTGTCATCTTTAGCTGTTGCCAGTATGGTTGATTCTTTTTTAAATATGGGGGGGGGGGGACTGCGGTGACTGAACCAATGAAAGTTGAAATCTGTAGCCATTATCACCCTACAAGGATAAGTAAACAGAAACGTATTAGTATCTTAAAATACTGGATTGAAATACAATTTTTGTGGGCTAGAGCCCACTCATGAACCGGGATGACTGCCACAGATTTAACTGTAGACCATGGAAGTATATGTTTCAGTAAGCCATGTCTTTAAGATGTCGCAGCATTTTGGTTTTGCTGCAGCAGGCTAATACAGAATTTAATTTACGAACTCCTATTTTTCATGTACAGCAGTAGAGTTCTTGCGGTATACAAACTTGTACAAGGGTGGCCTCATTGTGAAACATTTTTCTGTCAGGTTTGTTATTAGAGGAAACAAGTAGGGGCCCTGCAAGGACTTGCAGGGGGCGTCCCAGTTCCCCCTCCCCCACTCTTCCCTCTTTCACTTCGCTGAAAGCCCCCATAGCCTCTGCCCCTTTCCCTGCTT